AGCTATTTGTCCGGGAAGAAGATCATTCCCTCCAAAGACAGTTCGTACTCAGAAACATTCCCCGAGAGCCATTCAAGCACCCGTACGACTGGATCATCGGAATCTCTGCCGGCACTGGAACTGAGTCTATCTGAATTCTCGCCCAAATTCGATGTCTAAACATCCTGCCAAGAATGCAGGCTGGGTCTCGTTGAACTTGTTAAGGAGCAGCGTGGTGCGGGCTTGTGGTGGACATGGATGATCAGGCATAACCGTGCTAGCTAGCTAGCGACAGCTCGGCCGTGACGCTTGATTTGAAGTCTTTCCAGACGATGTAACTGGTGAATATTTTGGAGGCAATGCGACTCTGCGCTTGCTAGGTGAAATGTGGTCGATATCAAATATGTCGGAGCGATAGGTCAGTAGAGACATGGAGAACGGGGTGAAATAAAAAAGTAATATACAAGACTGTGAAAAAGTGGAGACAGGAAATTTGAAACAATAATTGTTCTCTTCACACCCGGTTTTGGCGTCAAATGATATTTGGAATTATCCTTCCGGTTCAGCCGACCGGATGTAGCCTGGTCGAGCTGCCCGGCTATGGCCCTGTAATCCTATTCTGTCTACTAGTGCATGGGCACTAGATCAAATGAAGAGCATTCTTATATGGTAGGTGAGAGCAAATGCGAAATACAAAAGGGTACTGATTGTTACAGCTTTTATTATGTGAGACGGCGAACTTATTGCATGTCCTTTCGTCAACCTGAACTTTCATATCACGCAATCCATAGACCAATTCTATCGTACGTTGCTATACCACATCTACATGGAACTTCAAAATCTGGCCAAGGGAGCAATAACGCGGTTGTGTGGAGAAACCTGTGCTTATTTGGGATGTACCCCAGACAGTCCCTTTTCCGAAAAGAAGCCATAGTGCAAGAGAAATCCATGGGAGATCAATCGTTTCTTAGAGCAAATAGAAAGAATCAAACAAAAGAAACATTTTGGGAATAATCATAGTTGCAGGATGGTCGACTGAGAATTCGCGAGGTATCCTGACGAAGAACTTTCAAATTGAAGGTGAAATTTATTGATAACATGACAAAGTCTCACGATTTGGACTTTGGGCCATCTAGAACCTTCAGGATTGGTGTAGGGTGATACGATAACTTGAGATCGAGTTAATATCTTCATAGCGACAACATCGATGATAAAGAGGAACTTACTACAGACGCGCTCGAAATCAGTTTCACCTCTATACTCTCTTCAATTCTTTGTCGAACTCTATTTTGCATGACGCCATTCCTTTTGCGGTTAGCTTACCCCCTGACCCACACTCTTGGCGTATCTTAGTACAGTAATAAATAATGGCACAAAAATAGCTATCGTATCATGGTTGTATAGGCCATGCCCTGTCTAGAACTACTCACTTGCAAACAAGCCAAACAGACTAGCTGGCAGGAGATTCGGTCGGTTGTCTGGCCACACACTTCTCACCTCCCCCAACCTTCAGTCCACCACGTTCACTCTTCTTTACTAACATAGTGGACGAGCGAAGACATACGTAGATACAATACTGGTGGGATGAAACATTTCTTTACAACCGACTTATCCGCCAGACAAAACGCTGCATTCCTTGGGTCCCACCCTCTGTTGCACCCTGGATGACCAAAATGTGCTGAAGTTCGGTTTACTAGGAAATTGACAACGATGATTAACCACTTCTATCCCAACGGTGATGAATCCCAAGCCCAGGACCCCTATCCCTCGGACCAGGATTCGCAATACGCCTCGACTCCAGGATATTACGAACACACGCCCCCCTCAGAATATGGTTTCAGCCCTTCACCGAACCGTTGCCCCCAGGGCGATCCCGAGCTCTTAGTCGCTTCCCAACCGGAACCCCTCAAGCTGCTTCAGCTCTCCGAGTGGGAAACAAACAGGCCAGACGACGAGCTTTCCGCAAGCTTTATTCGGTATACTATCGAGTGGAAAGTCAAAGTGAATAACCGGTCCATGTCAGAGGATACGGAACAGGACGTAGCGCTGACCCCAAGTGCTTACTGGCCCTTGGTCCTCAGGGACAAGCTGTATAAGGTAATCGAGGAGAAAGTTGCCCGCAAACGAAGGGTCAGGTCGGACGACACATCTATTGTTGTCTCGATCAACGATCGTAAGCAACGGGACCTGAAAAAGCGGTTTAATGGCCTCAGTATTGACTGGTCCGCTGTGGAAAAACAATTACTCGTTTGGGGGAAGTTTCATGCCAGCGGTAAAGAGTTGCGACTAAAGATCATCTTCAACTATATAGAGGACGACATCTCCCCTAGAAGCTCAACAGGCAGAAACGACAAAAGAGGAAGGTCATCTGTCACCAAAAGGATGCTCAACGAGCGGGATGAACAACTTGACGCCGAACAGCATACAACTGGGGAACAGTCGATCTGGCGGGCAGTCTACAATTTGATGCGCTGTCCTTCGCCATCTTGTCGTCTTGGTCCGCACTGCTGGCAGGACCCACATGGGAAAAAACACTATCAGCTAAGGACACATCATTTGAAACGCCTGATCGCTTATGTTGAAGGTGGTGGCATTCTGGAATGTCAAACCGATGTTCCTGACGCTGTTCGTGAGGAGCTCTTCTTGGAAGAGCAGCAGAAATTGGAGAGTCTCCAATCTAAGGGCAGCAAAATGCTTGCTGCAGGAAATTGTCCACCTATTAATATCAACTTCATGGGAGGGCAGCATCACCTTCAATCACCGGTGACCAACTCAATTGCAACATTGGCTACGTCTCCACCGCAAAATGGACAGACAGTTGATCCGCTCATAATTGACGGGCCCCGAGATTTGGCTGTGAGAGAGTACAGCGCATGGCAAGAAACAAATGTTGTCGACGACAATTTGAAGGCTCAATTTCGACAGGCATGCGATGTAACGCTGGCCAACGGTCTGGATCTTGAACAGATCCATGAGGACCATGACGCGGGATTTTTTATTGAAAAAGGAGTTGCGGTAGGGATTGCACGCCGCTTCGTAAGCGACATTGGCAGATGGGTGAGGCACGTAAGAAACTGACTGCGCAGGCTCGCCGTCAGAGTGGTTGGCAAGGTGTGATTAGACTTTTGATTGCTGTTTTAATTGCTTTTGATCAGTTATACTTGCTGCAACGTACCGCAATACTAGGCAGAATAAATGCGGATACATAAATTTATCTTGTCGAATTTGATGCCAATGAAATGGTCTTGTACAGAACTAGTGTTGATCTATCATCACCACCGAGCCTCAATTATATCCTTCAACAACAACGCCAGCGTGCCGGAAATGGCCCATTGCACTTTCTTCTCGAGATCCGACAGCCTCGATACACCACTCAAGGAAAGAGGCGAATCCTTGTTCCGGGCTTTGCTCATATCGCCGCCAATTCCGCCTGATGAACGCCTTGAGCTCAGAGAAAAACTCCTCAATGGGATTCAAATCAGGTGAATAAGGTGGCAGGTAAACCAATTTTACTCCTGCATTGGCAAATAGTTCTTTGATTCGCTCAGAATGATGAAAAGATGCATTATCCATGACTACAACGGACTTTGGTTCAGGCCACCTACCGCAATGTTTGAGAAGCTGCTCAATGAAATCCTCAAATACAGCAGCATCAGTCGAGCCTTGGAACACTCGAGAAAGTACAATCCCATCTTGGGCGTATGCAGGAAGGATCTGATACCGTTGGTCACGATGGAATTTGGATACTTGCAAAGGTGTCGCGCCCACCGGAGACCAGCCGGTCCGTCTAAAACCAATTCGTTTGTCGCATCCAGACTCGTCCACATACACTAGGTGATAGGATCGGAAATCCGATAAGTTGTGTAGGTAGAAGTCTCGCAAATCGGCGTTTTGTTCCTTTGCTCTTTGTCGAGCCACCTTTTTCGACCAGCCGACAGACGTAAGAGCCCGCTTAAGACTCGAATTCGTTACCTGAATATGGAATTCATCCCATAAAAAGAGGGCCATTTCATCCACATATAGCCCTGGTTTCTCAAGAAGATGATCACATATGGCCTCTAGCATTGGAGGGGTGATGCTTCGTCGTCGTCCAACACGTGTAGGAGGCGCTCTGACATTCCCAAATTGGTGAAGGTTGTTGCGGAGGTTGATGATTGAACGCTCACTACATTCAGCCGCTTCGGCCATCTGTGATGTGTTTAGGGATCCACTAAGTATCATGTCACGGATCATCTCGAGCTTCGAAGGAGGAAGCCTTGGCGCCATTTTGCGTAAGGATTGTGGAAGGTTGAAGGTGTGGTGGTGGAAACCTCCTAACGGACAGACCATTGGGCGTTGTTGGTCCATCGTGGGAAATTCTTTTCTCCATGCTCACCCCTGCTCACCCTTCTACTCAGTGAGCGGACGAAATGAATTTTGACTGAAGGTCTGGGGACGCAAGGGTATTGGGAAATGCACGTGACCAAGTACTGTCGTAGTTTCTTGTAAGGTGGTTGTCATGGCGACAGATCTGAAAACTGTGGGCTGTCATCAATACCAACCACGTCAGAGATAACAACCTGTACAATGTCACGGATGACGGATCACGTGTCTGGTCTCTCCTCAGGGTGTTAGATGGTCGATAGCTGTTGGCGTATCAGTATATTAACCTACATACTAAGCTTGGTAGTTCTAAGGCTTAGTTGTATTACCCATCTGGTCTGATATGAGGAAACCTACAGGTTGGATACTTGAGATATTGGAGAAATCTCTGGAAGGGCCGCAAAGAGTTTTTGTCAACGCTGAGATAAACAACAAAATAATCCCAAAACATGCATATAAATAGTTAAAAGCAAGAGATGGGATTATGCTCTGAGAGAGAGAGGAACAAGACACGGCCTGATGAACAGCATATTACCACGGTTCTTCCAGATACAGCAGAAAAAGGCGGAGACTTCGGTCGATATTCGGCAGGCAGCCACAAGAGGTTCAGTCCATTGTAGCTTATCCAAGAATAGTCACCATTGAAACCAAATCCATATTGTTCTGGCAACGATAGCGAAGTGTGTGGTGGAGTGGGCCTGGTTAGTGCGATTTTGAATGTACCGATTGATGTGTGTAGATGATTGAGTTTTATGTTGTCAAATCGAAGGAACGAGGAACAGATAGGAAGTGCTGACTCGCAATGCCCGGTGGTCGAATCCCAGATCCTGACTGAGTTATCAACAGACGCTGATGCGAGTCGATTTCCATCTTGCGACCAAGCAATCGCGCTGATCACTCCACGATGTCCTTCGAGACTTAATATACACTGACCACTGGTTGTATCCCATATTTTGAGTATACGGTCAGAAGACGCCGATGCGAGTCGGCTGCCATCTTGCGACCAAGCAATCGAGCAAACCGATCCACCATGACCCCTGAGAGTAAACTTGCACTGATCAATGGCCGGGTCCCAGATTTTGACAGTCATATCCAAAGAGGCCGATGCGAGTAGGCACCCGTCTTGCGACCAATCAATTGACCATACCGGATTATTGTGACCCTTAAGAGTTGACAAACACTGGCCGCTTATCGGATCCCAGATCCTAATGGTCTTATCCCAAGAGGCTGTGGCGAGTCGACTTCTATCATTTGACCACGCGATTGACATGATTTTATCACCATGCCCCTCAAGAGCTGAAAGACATTGTTTAGTGGCTAGATCCCAGATCCTGACTGTCTTATCATCTGACACTGACGCAAGTCGGCTTCCATCTGGCGACCAAGCAACTGAGCTAACTGGCCCGCTATGCCCCTTGAGGAGTAATACGCACTGACCTGTAGCTGGATCCCAAATCCGGACAATGCTATCCGAGGAACCTGATGCGAGCCGACTTCCATCTTGCGGCCAGGCAATAGACAACACTGAAACACTTTTGCTTAAGTGAGTTGATGCAGACTTGCTGGCTGTCGAGTCCCAGATCCTGACCGTTTTATCCCAGGATGCTGATGCGATTTTGCTTCCATCTTGGGACCAAGCGATTGAGTTCACAGTAGCCGTATGTCCCTCGAGTATTGATGTGCACTGGCCAGTGGCTGAATCCCATATCCTGACTGTTCTATCCCAGGATGCTGATGCAAATCTGGTTCCATCTTTCGATAACGCAAGGGACATGACCATATCACTATGTCCCTCGAGAACGAAGAGGCAATTGCCAGTGGCTGGATCCCAGATTCTAACTGTATGATCAGATGACCCTGTCATAAGTCGGTTTTCATGGTTGGACCAGGCAATTGAGTTGATTGAGCCATTGTGGCCCTCGAGTGTTGACTTGCACCGGCCTGTGGCCGAATCCCAGATCCTGACCGTCTTATCATCTGATGCTGATGCGACTCTGCTTCCATTCTGCGACCAGATAACAGAGGTTACCGGACTACTATGCCCCTCGAGAGTGAATATGGACCGGCCAATTTCTGGGTCCCAGATCCTGATTGTATGATCAGAGGACCCTGACGCAAGCTGACATCCATTTTGAGACCAGGATACCGAGTAAACCGAATCATAATGCCCTTTGAGGGCCCCTACGCACTGGCCTGTAACCGGATCCCAGATTCTCACTGTCTTATCATCAGACGCTGATGCGAGCCGGCTGCCATCTTGGGACCAGTCAATCATCCTGACCCCGCTAGTGTGCCCCTCGAGTGTTAGCGCGCACTGGCCGGCAGCTGAATCCCAAATTCTGACCGTCTTATCAAAAGAAGCCGATGCGAATTGGCTTCCATCTTGCGACCAATCAACTGAGCTGATCGAACCACTATGCCCCGCTAGTGTTGACTTGCATTGGCCAGTGGCCGGATCCCAGATCCTCACTGTATTATCATTAGACGCTGATACGAGTCGGCTTCCGTCTTGGGACCAGGAAGTTGTCCTGACCCAACCATCATGTCCCTCGAGGGTATGAAGGCACAGATTCCAATTCTCCTCTGCAGATGGCTTATTCAAAATCCAATCTGGTTTTTCACTTTCATAGCACTTTCTTGTGATACTCTGGGTTGGGCTGAAGATGAGAGACGAGGTGTATATTTGAAGCGGGCTGCTTTCAATTGCTACCCTCCAATATCGAATAAAGCGGGAGGCATCTCGGACTCGATGCGAAAGAGCTAGTGGCTTGTTGTGTTTCTATTGATAGTTTCCGTTGTTAATAGAGATCCCCAACATAAAATTGACCACTTACCTGAAGCAAGTCTTCAAGCTTTAGCATAGCTACTATACCTTGCGATATACTTCCGAGGATGCTAAGGGCTTCGAGCCAGTTAAGGTATTTTTGCCGCAGGAAAAGATCGACGCAGCCTCCCTCGTCAAGAATAACGTCATCTTGTTTATGACACCAACCATGCTGAAGATGGTCTACCCAATAGACACACGCGTATTGTATAGCTGCTAAAAGATTCGGACTGGGTTGAGTGACTTTCTCAATAGGAAATCCAGGGAACTTAATGCCAAAGACATCGCGACGAAGTGTCCTATGCATACCCTGTAGAGAGCGTGAGAAAATTGCATAATGTCCAGCTTCTTTGCCTTCGGGGAAAACTGTGTTTCGCGCCTCTCTGAGTAAAAATTCTTTCGCAGACTGATGGACGAAGATAATGGTGCGTTGAGTCAGGGTCAAAAAGGAGCCACAAATTGCTATAATCTCGGAGAGGTCTTCGTTGTCCTTATAGAGATCATCAGGAAGTTCAATCAAAGAGGCTAATTCGTCCAACGCAAGAGGCCGATGAACTATTGACATAACAGCCAGTATGCGCTTGCAGAGCTCCGAATCTTCCGAATTGAGAACCTGGTCGAACATTCGACTGTACAGAGCATTTAGCCTAGGAGGAAATGCTTCCAGCTTCTTAAGAGCGTGCCTCCGCGGTGTTCTATCAAGCTCCTGACAGACCAAGGCTACCCACAGGAAAGTATCTTGCGCATTCGACGACAAGTAACGGCATATCGTATCGCGAGTTTCATCTTTATACTGCTTTGCTGTTGCCAAATGGTTAACCTTATGCCAGATTAACTTATTCACAGCTTCAGATATAGATGCCCCGTTTAGCTCCAACGAGATCGCGGCTGCCTGGGTTGCAGTGCCAAGGCGTTCTTCAATATCAGGCGAGTTACGGCTTGAGACGATCCACTTCACTTTTGGATGGGCGTGAGGCTCCTGGGCAATCAAGCTTAGAAGGAGAGAGAGGTCTGTTGTGCATTCGTCTAGGGCATCGATCATCAGATAGGTACTCCGTAAGTCCACGTCTTTCAGAATATCCGTGAAGATACTCGAGAGGGCATTCCATGCATTTATGTCCTCAAACAGTGCTTTTCCCGCTGGGTCATATCGACGTCGTACATGGTGGAGAAGAGATGGCTGCTGCTCGACAAGTGAATATATCAAGCCACGGAGAACGGCCGTGGCATTATTAATTCGCAGGTCAGTAGCTTGGCAGAAAAAGAACGAAATATTCGCAGTGACTCCAATCGAGCGTGTCAACTCCTCAATGACACCACAAAGGAGCATTGTCTTCCCCTTGCCAGGATCTCCTTTAATCCAAAGGAGACGGCTGCTTTGGTCATTTTGCCAGTGTCTGTACTCCTCATTGTCTAAAATCCAGCAGTATGAGTCCTTGAGCAGCCCTCCATTCATGTTCTTGATACGGTCTTTATCGTCGTGGGGGTTGGTCGTTCGCAGATCCCGTAGGCACGCTTGGTTCAACGATGTTTCTGATTGTGCTAAGGCAGTAAATTAGTCGGGTTTGATTAGACTTGTTGTGTCTTCCCACTTACCGAACTGAGCAGTGACATTCCCGTTAATGACGCCTGCTTGGAACCCAGAGTTAGGTCCGCCATATGATATCGTAGATGCCATGATGCAGTCAGACAAGTTAAGTCGCGAACACACGGCTCAGTCACCAAAGTACCCCACTACCAGGCGACCTAGCAACCTACGCTAGCCAGGGACCACTCATCCAGATTTTAAGCTCCTCGCTCACTCGGAGTGGCAACTAGCTCGTTTGTTGCAAACCTTTGTTACAATTGTGCAACCGCGCCATGCAGTATTTATCTGCCAGCCGTGACAAGGAGCCCTATTGAGAGTATTCTCCGTAATCGTATTTTCGGTAAAGTACATAGCATCACATCATGTGATTTATTCTTACAATACATTACGATGTTCTGGAACTTACTAGACTGAATATGGACTAGCGTGTTTCAAATTAGAGTTAGAGAAATAATCGAAGAGAGTAAAAATGTGAAACTGATTTCGAGCGCGTCTGTAACTGGTCGTCAGAGAGAGGCCAATTTCTTGAGTTTGAGGTCAGAACATACATCTTCCCAGATTTCTTCATGCGAAGAATGAGATGAATGTCGGCATCGCATTCCGTGCTGTACTCAGAGACTTTTTTGAAAAGCGTGTTTCTTCGCCTGCGCGCTTTTTGATTAACCGCGTCTGTTGGGTTTGATTTCGGTTTTGGTTGAATGGCCATAATTGGGGTTATCTTTTGTACCGAGTGCAGTGTTGAGTTGAGGAAAAATCAGACCGACATCCAATTTTCGATTTTTCTAGTAGTGACTTGAAAGATCAATGGGGTCGCATGCCCTGCATTCTTAAGGGAACGTAGGGCAAGAACAGTAGATTAGTAGCTTTGTTCTTGTCACAGAAAGCCATTTCTATCCGCTTCGTCGTTG